GAAAGTCACTTCCATTCCAATTTCCATACACCACAATTCAAAGTATACAGTTGCAGCTGTTTGTTGAGGAGCCCTCCTGCAAAGACCTTGTCTTTATGTCCTGCAATGTGCCCAACACCAGCAGTATCGAGCACCATAAATGGTCAATATGAAGCTGCTGAATATAATACGTATATCATCTAAAGCCTACATTAAAATAGACTTATTAAACCAATGCGTATTTTCTGGGTAATATTCTAGAATAGAAATGTTTCAGGCTTTGCCATCTGTAGGATACTACCATGCAGGTTCAATACTGCAAGTGACTGGACAAGATTGGCAAGTGTGTGACACACTGCTGCTTTTCTATTGCCCTATCCCTGCTCTCCCCTTCCCGCAATCATTAAACTGTTTCCAGAGGCTCAGAAATCTCAGAAGTGTGAAGAATTTTGGGATTATCCAGAATAAAGACAGAGAAATTTGGAATCCTTGTCATTTGTCAGGTCATATACCCACTGATGTATGAGGTCACCAAGATGTCCCATATGGTATCCAGGTCATATATCCACTGATGTATGTGGCCACTGAGACCTCCCACATGGTACCCCACACTAGTTAATACTTCACAATGTTTTCCTTCCAAAAACCATTGGTCTTTCCCCTACAGTCTACCCTAACTTTCAGGTACCCACTAAATGTAATAACTTTTACACAGACTTCAGTAGCTGGTGCTTAGTGCAGATGTGGGAAGCTTGGAAATGGTTGTCTATCCATCTCTGGACAGGTAGGACATGCCACAAGGAGCCACAGTCCCTTTTTCAAGGTTAGACTTCCAGGACAAGGTCAGGCTTGCAACCCTGGGAAGCAACACTCTTCCTAGAACAGCTCCACTTGACACGGTCGTGGTGGTGAAGTCAGATATCCGTGTCATTTTTCTGATATTTCTCAGTTATCTATAAACACCGACAAGAATACGATGGCTAAATTAAGTGGAACTCTACTAGAGGACAAAGTCAACAACAGCTACAGCAAAGGAGCTGGGAAAGGACAGAACATAACTGACTTTGGAAAAAACGTGGCCTTTATGTGAGAACTGCATCTATCAATGTCCACCCTCGCATCCCCAGGGGAACTCAGGTGGGCTTATGCTTCGTTTTACATTATGCGCCCCTTTCCTACCAGAATTCAGAGGTGTATTCCACAAGAAGCACTTAGGATGTGTTTTCATGTATTAGCAAGAGTCTCTGACAGCCACCTTCACTGAGAACAGAAGTGAAGGTAGTTTGTCCAAGTTCAGACTTTGAATGGAACTCTAGGTTCTTTACAACACAGATTAACACCAACACCAACACCAACAAAATATCGCATATAAGCTCAAGTCATGGTTAACAATTTTGTCAAAACTCCATTTATTTTGAGATGACATTCTTTGATTGCACATTTGAAATTATTTATTTATATAAACAAAAGTACTCAAAAGGAATCAAGTCCCCTACCCCCAAACAAAGCACAAAAGGATACAAGATAGTTTACTGGGACCTGTAAAACCCAAATGTCATCCAGTCAGACAACATGTTGGAGGGCATTTTTTTTTACTATAAATAGATTCTTATAGAACTCTCTATGCCGTTTTTTGTAATCTTGGCTTGGACAGAGCTCACCCTGCAGCAGTGCACACACAAAAGCGGCTTCCAGTGACTCTTATACAGTCAATAAAAGTAATCATTTTGTATGGTTTCTGAAGAAATTTCTAGTAAAAGGGGCACCAGAAGACTGATGGCCTTACCGTGTACATACTCAGTAAGAAGCTCTAACAAGCAGCACAGGAATATGGCTTGGCCAAGTCACCAGCACTGAGCACACGCTCCACTGACAACCTCATTTCTAATGCAGTTTGCTCCTGGGAAGGCTATTCAGGTGCTGCTCGGTGCTCTGCATTCAGTGAGTTGTTATTTCCATGGGGGCCTGGAGTTTTCTTTGTTCATGAAATGGAGGGTTCAAGCCCTAAGTAAGCACTTTCTCCAACACTGCTGAAGGCTTTGTTTCCTGGTTCTTCTGTTAACAAGTATAGGCACTGGCTATGACTGGCTTTTCAGAAGATCATCCATATTTTTAAGAACTACCCAGCCTCAGCGCTTTGTAAGACAGAGACATTATTTAATGACAGCATGTGTTCTACCTTGGTCCTACCTGTTTCAAGTCCCAAGTGGGTCTGGTCTCATAGTCTTCCAATCATCTAAGGCTCACACACATTCTCATACTGCTTAGAACTAGTTTATTCACCACCCATAAAACCTTATTAGATAGCCTGGGCCAGCCTCAAAATTAAGATCCTCTAGTCTCAGCCATATCCACTGGGTTTATAGGCCAGTGCTACCACCCTGGAAAACCTGTCCAATTTTATCTCAACATAACTAAAAAAAAAAAAAATACAGCAGGAAGGCAGACACTATTTGTTCTATGTATATATATATATATTTATTTAACTTATTAAATACTTATAAATAACTAGGAATATATATATATACTCAAAACTTAAAATATGGCCCCAGGTTGCAGTCCCTAAAGTATCAGGAATATGCAAAATCATGACTCACTAAATTCTGCCTTGAAGCTCAGCTAAGCAGCAAAAATCCCCTGAACCAAAGGAAACCCCAAGATGGAGATGTCCCAGGCAGAGACCATGGAGAAGGAACACAGAAGAGCTAGCCCCAACAGCTGGAGGTGTGAGGCTTTAGCTGGTCTCACCTGAGCATTAAGGCATGAGAGCACCTCTAGGGCCTTCAGATTCTCAGTACTTTTTAAACTTCATTTAAACTCAACTACTTTCCTCTCCCAGTTGAAAGTGTAAAACATAATTTACCAAGATGTGTTGTTTATTATTCTCCAACAAATTATATTTGCTGTTTAGATCAAATTTAAAAGTCAACAAACTGTGTGGCCTTCTTTGTCCTTCAGTAACGAGCTCTCCACTAAAGGCTGCATTGAGAGCACTCCTGAACAGCATCCACTGTTACCTGCTGGACACCAAACTACTTTGCAAACAAGTTACAGCCACTATGATTTAATAACACATACTGTTACATTTTTTGTTTTTTCTCCTTTTTCTTTTGGCAAGCTTAGAACAATCCAGAGAACAGAAAATAAAGTCTTCAACATTGTATAGGAAAATGAAATGGGTCTCTACCTACATGCCTAGTGATTCAGGCTAAAAGGTACAACTGAATGAAATCCTTAGCGCAAGAAACACAATCAATTAATACAAATTAACACTCACTGATGTGTAGGGAAGTTTCCTATTCAGAGGTAGAGTCCAGTGCACAAGGCTTAAACACAACAGCCATCAGTCTGAATAAAACTGAGCCAGGCTTTAAGGAGTCACTGTTGATGTCAGGTATCAGACTGTGTGTACACACATACAATAAATAGACTGTACAATCTTTTAAAGTAGTTTAATAAACTCCACAAAATAGTATCAGGTGCATTGAAATATTTACAGAAGACAATTTCCAAATCTCCCATTCAAATAAAAGGAATAAAAATAAGATTTCTGCAATCAAGTCAGCAGTCCTTTTCTGAAACGGGCTGGTAAAATAAGGTATTTTACACGAGAGGAAGGAACTCATCTAAGAGGTATTCATATTTGGCTAAGAAAAATAGGTCCCTTTTAGAGTTCTAGAGAAGAGAGAATACGAAATGACACTTTCCTACATTTTAGCCTCTGGTTAAGGTTCTTGAAGAGAGAAGCTGATTTTGTTTCCCATTTAGAGCAAATCATCAAAGGTGCGATAGGAGGGTAGTTAATTTTTCACTTCCTGTTTTGGACATGTAGGCTAGAACTGCTCACACTTCTGACTAGGAACATGACTGCAAAACACACTCCACTGAACCCTGACTGTAACATTTCTGGCTCCATGGTCTTGGGATTCTGACATTTTGTTCTTTTCATTTCCAAAGTGTGTTCCATGGAGAGGGACCTGTTGGGGTCAGGCATATGATTTCTGAGTAATCAACACAAATTAACAGACAATTCTAAACTCTTCCCAGCTCACACAGAGGAGGATGTAACAAGCCGAATGCTAGCATTTATCCCAAGTGTCTCAAACAATGAAAAACATACAAACCTTGGTCACTGTAACCTACAAGGCGCAGAAGCAAAGCACTTATGTGTGCGTGACTTGGATTCTTGGACCTCAGGTCAGATTTTCTCATTGATAGGGTACCTTTAACCCCTTTATTTTATTCAACAGAAGAGTCTGATCTAGCCCCAAAGCAAATCAGAAACAGTCAGAAAATACAAACGTTGGTTATAATAAAGGAAGCATGAGCCTTCACAGTTTGTGTAGCTTCTCCAAGCACCCACAATGAAAATGCAAGTTGAGTTTTTTTTTATTCAACCATTCTGTGAAAAATACCTCAGGAAATAGTAACATTTTTCCCTTTAGTGATCTTCCCGCTGGAATACCCACCCACCCACTCCCTCCCCCACACTTTTTTTTTAATTTTAGATTTTTAAAAAAACTGTATACAAATAGACTGAATTTGATTTAAAGTAAACATATAAAAGTCAAGAAGAATATTGCTTGCAACAATGGACATGGAAGCAGAAGAATGACCAGGCAGGGAGCACATGGACATGGCTCCTCACAATGAGGTCAGGCAAACCTGGCTCCCTGGATGCTTCTCTCTCCAGGACGCCTATGCTGAGGAACATTGCCTTCAGCCACAAAGTCTGACTGAGTTTTGTAATTACACCTTCATGTTAGCAGAAAAAGAGAACTGGGGAAGGAGAGGGGTGACAAAAACAAAACCAAGAACAACCAACTGCAAGAAAACTGGAAGGCACAAGCACCCATGTAATCTAGATAGAACGTTCCTGGACTGAGGCAGGAGAGGGAGACTTTTGGTTCAGCACTACAGTTAAGTTAATCCGGCTATTGTTGGAGGGGAATCATATAAACAAGTGTGTAGAAACACAATAAGCACATCTCACTCGTGAGGAAGACAGCTCGAGAAGATGATGCAGAGATAAACAAATCAGTACTATTTATTTGGATGTCTGTGCCATGGTGGGTACAAACTATATTCTCTGCTCTGTGGGATCAAAACCAAACCAGAATAAAAATGAACAAACAACTCCCCACCCCAATTCCAAGAAAGCAGCAAGAAGGAGTGCAGGGAGTCTTACAGAGCATACCGATTCCAAGGGCACAGTATGGCACTCCTGACTCGGATGTGCACTCAACTCTGCTACCTACCTCTGGCTCCATCTGGTATTTATGACCAGACAGGGACCCAGAAACAGTCAAGCTACCAAGTACTCTCTGCCTCAATACAACTTCCCTTTCCTTCATTTCCTCTCCAGGATTAGAGTCTTTTTCCTCCATGAAAGAAGTGCTGTTCATGACGGCCGGGAAAGCTCGATACCGGGTGCCAGAATTTCACATCCCCTAAAGCCTCTTAGTGTGCAGAATGCAGTGTGGAGGCAGGCGTGAAGGCAGCCTTGACGGGGCTGTGTTCAAACAGAAGGGGGAAAAAAGAACAGAACAAACCACCCCAAGTTCATCTTTACTCAAACAAGAGGAGAAACCGAGGGATGGCATAACCTCAGAAGGGTGTCCCAGTTAGGAGATGATGGCGGGGGACCACCGTGGCAGAATCAGGTTGTCAGCACTTGCTGACCGCTTCCTGGTGGGTTTTCTCAGGTCCTTGTACTTGTCCTCACAGAGACGAGAGATGGCCTGAGAGAAAGAAAGACAGTGCAGGTCAGGGCATACACCAGCACCCAAAGGGACCCCTTAGTCAGGGGCTCTGCAAGGCTGCCTGCCTTCGCTGGCTCAATAGGCCTTGCTCCCCGGCAAAACTCCAACTCTGTTTGAAAACTGGGTGGTGGTGGTGGTGGTGTGTGTGTCCTCATGATCTTGGAAGCAGAAGGGAGGGAATGCCCAATTCTACTGTGAGGGACAACTACAATGAGGATGCCTTAGTGAGAGACAACCATAAGAACGATGGTAGCAGAAAAACCTAGGGTCCAGGGTTTTTCCTAGGAGCCAACTGATATGGTGGGTGTTGGTGAGCCAGACTCATGGACTCTGAGGGATGGAGGGGTCACACAGGGCCAGGATGGAAAGACTTTGTAGTCTGCAGCCAGCATAAATCTGCCGGTACTTTTTAAGAGAATATGTTAAAATTCAAAACAGCATTTTAGAAAAACAACTTCAACAGCAGCAGAGAAGAAGGGCTGGAGGAGAGAAAAGAGACAGGCGTCCATGTGCAAGTCATGGTCAAGTGGAGAGCAGAAGACTACCAGGCTGAGAGGCCTTACCCCTCACATGGTGCAAACAATATGGGTGAACATAATAAAAACACAAGTCTGATTGTTCAGGGGCATCAGAATTCTTGGATCAAGTTCTTTTATGTAAACTTCCTAAGATTAGCAAGTATCTCTGAATTCGTAATAGCAACAGATAGCAATATTTCCTCTTAACCTCTCTGTATATGGTAATAACAGCTTTCTCTGACATGTAGACAGAGAAGATAACACTCTAAGCCCATCTGAGAGTAATTTTTTTTCTTGTTGTTTTGAGGCAGGGCTTCTAGAACTAGAACTATATCTGTAGGTCAGGCTGGCCTTGAACTCACAGAGATTCGTCTGTCTCCCAATTGGTGGGATTAAAGGCGTGTACCACCACCACCCAGAAAGAATAATTTTTTTAAAAGACAATACTCAGCCTGTAAAGGTGCACTGCACAACCAGCATGGTCAAGAGCCACATCAGTATCTCTCTGCAGTTCTGTTGGTTTTTTGTTTTTTGTTTGTTTGTTGAGAGAGGGTTTCTCTGTGTAGATTTGGTGCCTGCTCTGGAACTTGCTCTCTAGACCAGGCCAGGCTGGCCTCAAACTCACAGACATCCACACTTGCAGTTCTGTTTTTATCCAGTGCTAGGCACCCAGCTTCTTCCCCTGCTTTACTAGCTGCTTTCACTTTCTTTGAAATAACAGACTATAAGACGGTAATTTTAAGCATGAATCCTTTCTTTCCCATGCTGTTGTCAGGACGTTTTATACAGCCACAGCTAGGAAACCAGAAGAATAGTGTTCAACAGAAGAAATGTGGAGGAAATTCACCCTAAATGAAACTTCTACAGAAACCAAAACCAAACAACAATAACAAATCACTTTCCATCTCTGGCTTGATTGTATCCAACTATTGGCCCTGTCAGAGCGAGACCCTGAAGAGGGGACAAGCAGTAGGTAAACACCACAGGCCTTAGTGAGTCTGAAAAGGGCTCTCCCATCTTCCCCTGTGGTTTAAGGTTTTGTGCTGGTTATTTTTTTGTCAACTTGACATAAGCTAGAGTCATTAGGGAAGACAAAACCTTAACTGAGAAAATGCCTCTATCAGACTGGCCCTCCTGGGCAGGTGGCCCTGAGTTGTATAATAAAGCATGCTGAGCAAACCACGAGAGCAAAGCATTATGTGGCATTCCTCTCAGGGCCTCTGTTTTGGTTCTTACCTTGTCTTCCCTTTCAATGATGTAGAAGTATAATTCTATCCTACTCAAGATGGTATTGGTCAGTGTTTTATCACAGCAAAGAAACCAAACTATAACAGGCTCTATGGATGAGATTATATTGCCTAGGGGCTGAAGTCCAGAGGGATGAGCTCAGGGTTAGCACAAAATGAAGAAGGGGAATCTCACTAGAGTTCCTTCTCACCACTTTGTCTTTCCTAGCTTCCTTCTCTCTGCTTTCACAGATGTAACGAATGGGTGGAAACACACAGTTTCTGTGATAAATAGTCACAGGTTAGAACAACAGCCTTCAACCTAGACTCAACAGTGAGGCAGGCCTCAACTCCAACCACAAAAGAATCCTTTAAAAAAAATAATAAAAGTTTTTCTGGATTCTTAATTGCTAAGGTCACTTGGCAGCTTCTTCCCACTTTAAGAAAAAAGCATGCTGGGAAATACTTATTTTGTGGGCTTATAATCATAAAAACAAAACAAAGCAAAATCATAAACACAAGGATGTTAAAAAATGTTTGATTTTAAAATACACTTGGTGTACATTAAGTAAAAACTGCCATCTGACTGTTAAAATGAAGTACATATGTATTTAGTTATCCACCTAGGGTCCTGTTCATTTCATACCACACTCAGAGACAGTGTTGGACACAGAGGTGGTAATGGGACAATGCACTGCAGCAGAGTGTGAATCTACTTACCTCAAGCTTGTGGGCACGCTCCCTGCTTAGGGGCTCCAGGGGAAAGCTCAGGTTGTTTGCTTCTGCCAGAGAACGAAGATCAAAATAATACTTGGCATACACGCTGGAGGGAACATTGATGTTGAACTGTAGGAGCTCTAGGAACTGTCGCTCCAGCTCATTCCTGCAGAACAGAAGCAGCAATAGCCGGAATTAGTCACCGACTAGTGCTGCCGACCACTGAAGACTAGACTGCAGAAAACTGTATCCTCCAGAAAGAAAATTTATCTAATTAACTGCTTGGTTGAACACCAGCTATGAAATACTACTGTTAAATATGCGTTAAGAGGCAAATCTAGCCGGGCGGTGGTGGCGCACGCCTTTAATCCCAGCACTCGGGAGGCAGAGGCAGGCGGATCTCTGTGAGTTCGAGACCAGCCTGGTCTACAAGAGCTAGTTCCAGGACAGGCTCCAAAACCACAGAGAAACCCTGTCTCGAAAAACCAAAAAAAAAAAAAAAAAAAAAAAAAAAAAAAAAGAGGCAAATCTACATGAGCTGGAGCCCAGAAAGATGATCAATAAGAACTGCATTAGGGAGATTTGTGTCTCTAAGTCATGAAACAGACAATGCTCATCCCTCCCTTACCTGTAATGAATTCATCAAGAACGGTAAGGACAGGCCCAAGTCTCCGAAGATAGCTAGAGAAGCGGCCTCTGTAGCTGAGGTCTATATCTCCTCAACGTGTGTGTGTGTGTGTGTGTGTGTGTGTGTGCAGTATTTAGGAGCTTCCTATGGGAAACGACTAGGGGAAGGGTTCAATTCTAGCTCCAGTCCTTAAAGAAATTCCATTAGCCTGGGAATTGAGCTGGGAGAGGGGGAACATGTTAAAGAAGCTGACAGACTACCCCTGCTCCAACTTCAGCTTGGCTGGTCTGTAGACTGGACTTTCTAAGAGGTCCTATGTGGAGCTGGCTGCTGGACGGTCTCCACAGGGAGAAGAGAGATGTCTCAGTTCATCCAGACAGCTCACTTTTATTTTGATAAAAAGAACAGTCGGAGTGAATTTTCAAAAGTCAGTATTGAGAACATCTCATTTACCTTTCAGAGTAGGCATACTTGTTACTATTGTGGGAGCTGGTCCTAGTTTTTTCTCCAGAAAGGAAGAACCCAGTATGTTGGGTCAATGCCCTGGAGCACCTGATTCTGAACTTTTGTCACAGCACACTAAAACTGTTTGGTGTAGTTGGCTTCTACTTGTCTCAGCCAGGACACCTGCTTTTCAAGCCAGCCAATTTTCTAGACAAGCAAAAAGCAGATGCGAGTAGGGAGGGTAGAGCTCTGGTGGGAAGGGACAGCCAGAGATTGGGGAACTGTCACCAAAGGAACCCACTTGCTACAAGTCTGGCCTCTACTCCCCAGTTGTGAAGCTGAATTTGGGTGGATCCTGTCCACTCTGGACATCACTCTTCAGACCTGAACAGTGCAGCACTATCTTGGTCCCAGGCTAAACTGAGTCCCCCTCAGCTTGCACCTAAGAACCATTTCATTATGCAGTAAGAAGCTATGACAATCAGAGACCCACACTTCACAGTAGCTGAGATAGAGGCTAAAATCTGAGCCACAGCTATTGGGCAGAGAAGAACTGAAATCCCAGCAAGCACACAAAGTACATATAGATGGAAGGAAGAAAGGAAGTAAAGTTAAGAAGCTGTTGACGGAGTTCCAAGCGACACTGTCTCAGGTCTTTTATTTGGAAAATAAAATAGAACAATCTTGTTTATTTTTGTATGTTCTTGTGAACAGAGCTCACATGTACCAAATAAACAAAGTGTTCTGAATTTTATACTTTTAAGGACTTTAGTGTTTTTAGGATTTTTGTTTTTAAACTTCAAGCAACTATGCTTTATTTAAGTGAGATTTAATAAAAGTAATCCCATTGAGTGTGAGGCAACAGCTTATGGGTACAGACTGCCCCCTAGTGATGAATGGGCATCACTACAGAGCTTATTCAAAGAAGACAATCTCTTCATTCTATATTCCCAGCATTCTGGAACTTGACAGAGGAGGATCATGAGTCTGTGGCCAGCCTAGCAAATTCAAACAAGACTCATAAAATAAAAAAAAAAATTCCAGTTTTGATTTTTCTGTCTACAGAATGAATTTAAGATCTGAAAGCTTACTGTGTTAACAGGAAACTAACAATGGTACAAAAGAAAAAAAGGCTTTATTGATTTCCTTCCTTCACCTGGGTCATCCTGAGGAAACAGTTCTGGTGTCAACATTTATAAGAAACACATTCCGGTCAATAAATAAAAGCTCCTTTTAAAAGAAACTGCTACACTAGTTTAAGACAGCACAGAAACAGAACTGCACTGGCTACATTTAGTTAGGTGAAAGCAGGACTGAGAAGTGGAGTAGTTACTTCATAAGCTGGTACCTTGCCAGTCTTTCTAAAGCACTGAGCTCAGTAGCATTGACCCTTGGGGAATACACGACTGAAGGGTCCCAAGAAGGCATCTCTGGTGTTCACAGCACTAGGATTCACACTTACACAACATGGAAGCACCGGGAAGTGACTACTGGCAGGTGAGTGGGTAAACAAAATGGGGCACTGTGTATGAAACGAAAGAGTATTCAGTCTTAAAAAGAGAATGATGACAGGTCATAAAATAGATGAGCCCCGAGGACATTATTCAAGGACCGTTAGCTGCAGGAAGGTAAACCCTATGTGACTTTACCCTGAGCAGCACACAGACATGTTCAAGTTTATTTGGGGCTGAGTTTAAAACTCTCAGGATTAAGAAGGATGGCTATAGTAGGCAAAAACTTACTAAGACATCTGAGGGTTTAAATAAATTATCTCACATAAGTCTTTTTATCAAGCCTCATTTATTCTTCCTATGCTCTCTCCAATGCTCTCTTGATGGTTTCCTTTCCATGTCTTGCTGTTGTTTGCTGTTCCTCTTTTGATGCTCTTCCTCTCTGTTCTTTTTTATCCCACATGGTTTCCAGTTTATATACCCATAGACAATTAACAAGCATGAATTTCACAGACTCACAAAAACAGGAACAGGAGGCAACTAACGTCTCAGAAGTAGTGTGGCTATAACACTTTCTGGCAGATCTTGGACTTCCCACAGGGCAGGGAACCCTGATTGCTCTTTGGGCTGACGAGGGAGGGGGACTTGATTGGGGGAGGGGGAGGAAAATGGGAGGCGGTGGCGGGGAAGAGACAGAAATCTTTAATAAATAAATAAATTTAAAAAAAAAACCACTTTCTGGCAGATACTGGGAGGATTAATTAAGAATGGGACTTTAAACCAGTACAAAATTCGAGTAAGGTTTTGTGCACCGATTACATTTCTTAAGTGTAACTAGTTAAGCTGGAAGCTAGTGATTAACAACTGGAGAAAAGCATGGCAGTGCTGCTGCACTTTTTGAGCACTTCTGCTTCCTACTTCTGGCAGCTGGAAACACAGCATCATGGTAACCATAGTAACCCATGGGCCTGGGAGGAAGGTGAAAGTGCTTGATTTGCATCAGTGTCCAGCTAGTTGAGTTAAAGGGGATTTCTTTGGAGACTTTGTTTCCAGCTCTAGCAAGGGTTAGCTTTCTTTTTGAAAACATGCCTTTGGAACTGAGTTCCAAAGCTACCTCCCCATGTTCAGGTATTTGTTCAAGAAAATGAGAACACATTTTCCAACACTGAAATCTGCAATAGTGTGCTCAGGTAACTGGACAAAATACCAGGAAGATTGGGTATCCAAAGCAACAAATGGGGGCTGGAGAGATGGCTCAGAGGTTAAGAGCATTGCCTGCTCTTCCAAACGTCCTGAGTTCAATTCCCAGCAACCACATGGTGGCTCACAACCATCTGTAATGAGGTCTGGTGCCCTCCTCTGGCCTGCACCACAGATAGAATATTGTATACATAATAAATAAATAAATAAATAAATAAATACTAAAAAAAAAAAAGCAACAAATGTTTTCTCATGGTTCTGGAGGATGGAAGGCCAAGACCAAGGTATCTCCTAAGGCCTTTCTCCTCGGCTACAGATGGCTACCTTTTCTGCACCATCTCTCTGTCTGTCTGTGGCCTAATATCCTCTTCTAGGGACACCAGACATATTTGATTAGGTGTAGCGCAAATGCTTATTAGCTTTAACAATAAAAACCTGGAGTCAGATATAGGGGTAAATGCTGAAAGATCAGAGAAGCAGAGCAGCCAGTCACTAGTTCTTAGTTCTACTGAATCCTCAGATCAAAGGGCAATCCTGTCCCTATGAATCCTCAGACTGAATGCCTAAGTTCCTGTCTCGTCCCACCTTATATATTCCTCTCTCCACCTAGTCAACCTCCCTAGTGTTGGGATTAACAGTGTATGACTCGTTAGTACTTGGATCAAAAGGTGTGAACCACCACCACCTGGCTTTGTTTCTCTTTTAGACTGGATCAATTTCATGTAGCCCAGGGTGGTCTTGAACTCACAGAGATCTGCCTCTGTCTCCCAAGGGCAGGGATAAAAGATGTGTGCCAGTCCTGCCTAGCCTCTGATCTTATTTGTTATATAGCACAAACACAATATTACCATGTTTTCCCTTTTTTGTCTAAAATAAAAAGGGCCATAACTAATATAAAACTATGTACAGTAAGTACAATAGCTATGTACAATATATACAGACAATAAATACATCAAGAATGTCTAGTCCATTTGCATTTGACAAATTCAAAGAAAATATTCCAGTATCTATCCTAACTTGTTGAGGCCAAAGTCTTGTATTTAATTCACTTTCTATCCTAACTTGTATTAGCATCCAAAACTATCTTTCGATGTATCTTAACCTTATATACTTTACACTTCTTTAGTGAATTTCTTTTCTGAATTTGGTAAAAAGGAAAACTGTAACTATAAAGTCTTTAACTCCATCAGAGACCTAAGAAGGAAATAATATTAACTGAGTAGAAAGGAAGCAACTTCCAAAAAATATGAGAAATGACAGAAACAGTTGGTTTCCTGGACAGTTCACCCAAGGTTCCTCTAAAACATTTGGGCATCCATCTTTGGCCTTACAGATCTAGAATGTCAGAAAGACTTATCTGTGAAGCAGGATTTACTGAAGGGCTGTTCTACCTTGTCTAGGCAAAATTTGGCAGTTCTTTCTTTTGTGTCCTGCTTGTCCCAT